CGACGCGCGATGATTAAAAAAGTCGGGGGCCATAAAGGAACAGAGAGGTGGCAAACGCGGAAGGAAGGACCTTCGGCCTGTCCAAAGGCTGCGCTCGTCAATTCCAGTTAACGCGCGGTGCATCGATAATCGAATCAGAAGAGGAAAAAAAAAAGAGACGAGTGGCCGCTGAATTTTTAATCGGATCTTCTAGCCGTGCTTTGTGCGCTACGCGGTGAATAAAGCGCAGCCTCGGGCACAAACGATACTCGAGGAGTAGTGCACTATAACCGGGTCTTTGTTTTTTTTCACATTTTTTTTTTTTTTTTTTTTTTTACAGAAAAAAATCGCATACGTCGAATATTTTATAACTTTTCTCGCAATGACTAATACATGTAACAGTTAAACAAGTACAATAAATCTCGTACAGTAATATCTAAAATTATTTTTTTTAAAGACTACCAGCAGTTTGTTGATTCAATGAACACGAATCAATAGTCTATCGTCGAGGATATAGTTTTCAATGTTCAAAGAGTAAGAAAATAAACGGACGAAGGTGTATCCATATATTTTTTTTTTGCACCTGCAAAACCCGAGTGGTATAAGTTTCAACGAAAAATTACTCGCGACGAATCAAACGATCCAGTCATCCGTAATTCCAACTAGCGATAATATAAATGGGCTCTTTCGTCGCATCGGCGCGCAAAAACAGTCGCAATGACAATTAACCCATTCCCCCTCCGAACAAGACGTGGATTTCGCACCCCCGAGACAAACGAGGACACAACGACCCCTCCCTCGCGAGGTAAACTCTCGGCAATTAATACACCCGCGCGTAAACAGCAACAGTCATGACCACGCAAGTCCAAAAGCTCGAGCCTCGTTGAAGTTGCAAACTCCCCGAGCGCCCCTCCGCCCAAACTTTACGTACACGTTACACAGCCCGGACCAAAGAGATAACTCGAAGCGCCCGAAGAACACAATGTTCATCCTCGAGATCTAATTCGTTCGAAGAGAAGCTCTTCGCCGTAGCTACGGTGTAAAGGCACACGCGGCCAAGTTTTCCCACGCGTATCCTTCTCAAAGACCACTCCATCGAGTAAGGAAGAAGGGAACAAAAGGCCCTTCAAAGGAGCTATCGCGTTGCGATTTCTCTCGTTCGGAGCCACGTGTATACGTACACACACTTTGGTAGACTCGGCGAATATATAGTATATAAGCGAGAACTAAGGCGGGGGGGGGGCAACTTGTCGCGAGCACTCGGGTGCACTTCGCATATACTTTGCCTTCCCCTTGCACACGTACGTCATAAACCCGGGCTGTATACGTATAAAAGGCGTGTGTATGGGGTGGCTCGCAACGAGAAACGATACACCCTCGTAATAAGTATACACATTGCGCGCGAGTGCGCCTCCCCGACCAAAGTTCAAAGGACCTTATATATACATATACATGCCGCTGAAAAGACGACACCGGTGCTTTTTGTGTTACGTGGCAAAGCACCGAGACTATTTGCGATGGGATTAATTTACGGGCGCAGCTCATCTCGCGGAAATAATGTGTCTGTACTATTTTTCTTTCCATTTGCGGAATCTCCGTGACAACGGAGCGTTTCGAAGAAAACTTTGGCCACGAGAGCTGTTGTGCCCACGCGTTGTAGCAGTAAAAAAAAAAAAAAAAAAAAAGAAAAGGTCCAACTAGTCGATACACCCCTTCCATCCATCGCTCAATTACTTAATCCTCCTTTTCTCCGTGAAAATCCAGAGTGGGATTTTTCCAGAGCCGCCGACAGCTGCCGCGCCAACTTTTCCATCCCCCTCCCACCGAGCGCTGCGTTGTAAAGTGCTCCCCTCTGTCTGCCCGCCCCCGGAGCGGGATGGTGGAAAGACTGGCTTAATTCTCGCGCGGCGGGCAAGCTTCCGCGAAAAACTTGACGGGAAAGTTGGGACGCAAATTTTTGCCCCCCCCCCCTCTCCAGTTTCTCCTTACCTTTTAGCAACATATGCCTCGAAACTCCCCTGTGCAGAGCTGCTGTGTGCGTCGAGGAGTTTCTCGGTCGGGGGGTAAAGAAGAGAGCGTTTTGGGCTCGTTAACGCTGATAAACGCCGGTTCAATCGGTGAAACGAGGCTTGAGCTCGTTTGCGCGGAGCTGTCGTTACGCAGGTGGGATTTCCAGGGCTTGTCGTCGGTTTATACACTTGTTGCCATGAGAGAGAATGGGTTGTAAAATGCAGTTTTTTTTTTTTTTTTTTTTTTTTTTCTTTCTAGCCAATCACTGGAGGTCGCCATGGAAGTAAAATCCACAACATGGCCACTTATAAGACAATATATAGAAGAAAAAATACATCAACTAGATAATTTCGTATCCAAATGAAAAAATTCATTCAGTTAGCGACGGGATGCTTTTACGTTTGCTTTATTATTATTACTTGGTCATACGGCAGATAAATTAGATGACAAAAAATAATAACAGCGTTAACAATAATATCGCACAAAGGCACACGTAACTAATAGACAATGCAATCATAAAACTAAAAGTACCTAAAGTAAGAAACCGAATTTCTTGAAAATTGCAACTTTAGTACAAAAAGAATATTTGCGTACACTTAGGTATTGACTAGTTAATTTCTAAACCTAAAATGAATGTTTCTTTTTGTTCAGTATAACCAGTAGATCTTCTTTTTTTTTTAAATATCACAATTAGTCAAAGGACACTCCCATAGGATTCAACTGAAGATAGATTTTGTAGGGCGAGGATCCCTCCTCACATTGTACTCGTCTTCGTCGTATTTTCCTTTGGCTTTCTCTGCTTTTCCAAGTCATTGCTGTGGTTCAGTGCTTCAGACCTGAACAAGCGCCGAAAGCCTTCGCGATAAGCTGGTGTCTTCCAAGCGTAGATGAGTGGATTGATAACGCCGTTGACGGTTGACAAAAATGGGGCTATGTGATGAAAGAAGTGCATAGCAGTGGATGGATGATTAAAGTGCAACACCTTCAACAGGGTCAGGACTACGTAGGGCAGCCAGCAGACCGAGAAGCAGCCCAAGAACAGAAACACCTTGGAAACAATTAAACCATCAGTTATTAACTTGTCGGAAACACCTTTGAATCATTTTCGGGGCGGAAAAATATGTTTCACGCACACTGTGCGAGAAATTGGATTTTACGTATACTAAAAACAGTGCGGAAAACACCCATTTTACGAAAATTCTTGTACGCAACTCGTGAGGAACGATTCTCACATTTGGGTGATGAACATCGCATTCGATACCGAAAACTCGTGCCATGGGATCACACTTTAAGCGATCAATTGGCACTCGTTCCCTGTCAACTTCGGCCACTCGTGCGAATCCATCACTACTCATGTGGGAAACCATCTTTTCCACACTTGTTACGTAAATAACTATTATAAAGTCTTTATATATTTTTTCTTTACTGGGGATGCACTGTGAAAGTCCATATGCGAACTAGTAACGAAAACTACTATAATTACCACACACTGGTATGAAAAAAAAATTTTCAATGCTTTTGGGACGCTACGAGTATAAGATTTAGGCAATATAAGTTGAGAAGTAACACACATACGGTTAAGTATGGATATACATACAAAATAGCTGTTTTTGTCGCTATTATCCGCTGTACCGTTCGACCTCGCTTTCGACCTTTCCATGTGTGCCCTCGTCGCTTTCCAAATCCCCAAGTAAAGTGCAAAAATGCTGAACCACGTGACCATCAAACTCGTTGCCCAAATCACTTCATAATAGAGTCTGAAAATATCACAAGTATTTGGTGTATTTTCTACCAAAAAAAAAAAAAAAAAGTTTTTGTGGCGTTAATAAAACTTGATTACACGCCTGGGCACCGCAGTTTTGCAATTGCCCTTTTCGGGGTCGAAATTGTTCCAGTACAAAGGTACCGAGGATATGAGCACAGCTGCGCACCAACTGACTACTATCATTGCGTTAACTACGCGCCTGGCCATGTGTTTCGAATATTTTAGTGGGTAAATGATGGCCGCGTAACGATTGACTGCTATCGTCAGGGTGGCGTAGTAGCTCGCAGCTATTGCCAGATACATCAAGAAAACGCTGTAAAAAAATATATTGAAAACATGGCAGATTGTGGTAAAATTGAAGCTTCTAATAAAATGATGTACTAAAACATCATGAATACCAAAATAATTTTCAGGAGGAAAAAAAAACAATCGTATTAACAGTAATTTTTTGATAACATGAGCTATCGAAATTAACCAATATAATGAGCCTTAGGCCGACAATTGTATTTTTTATCGTTATTGTGAGTTAAAACATAAAATCCAAATCAATTACCACCTGAGTAGATTACCACTTTAAAAATGATAGGTCAAAGGTATTTATCGAAAATTTATCAACAAATGTATACAAAAAAAGTAAAAAACAAGAGCTGCAGCACAACGTTTTTTAATAAAATCACTTTTCAATTATTTACAATTCGATATTAAAGTCTGCAATTTTTTAATGTTTTTCAAATCGATACATCAATACATGTGTACGAGTATCAGTGAAATCAACCCAAATGGCATATTATTCAGTTTGAAAATGACTATTAATGAGTATAGCCATTGAGCCTGACCCTTGCAATGACTCAAGTGACAAACGACTGAAGCTCGATGAAGTACAGAACTCAAGAGAGTCCGAGGTCAAAGACCGGGAGGTCATAGACCCCAACTTCGAATAGTCACAGACATCGCAGTTGTGTCGAGTTGCGTCCCATTATTAGGTAAATGATTCATGCCAATTTTTCAGCTACACCTTTTTACAGACCATTGCCTTACATCAATTCGCAAATCTGTGGTGCTTACACTTATTGTTTTGAATTCAACATGTAGCAGTTAAGTTCGTACAAATGCTTGTTATTATACCAAGACTAGAGTACTTTTTTTTCCTTGCTATTTTTATCTTCTGACGGAATGAGTGATTGCTTTATTGACGACCTCATAAGTTAGTATTAATAAGAAGTCTTTTGGACCATATTTTAACGAATTACATAGAACACGATGAACCTAGACCACCTTCGACTTGGGCAACATTTGCGTGTTCAATAATGTAGAACAACCAACAACTGTGAATCAATTAATTTAAAATCAAACAGTTTGTTTTACTCCGCAAATCCAAGTTTATATGTTTTTGTTAACTAAAGTATATATGCATTAAAATTCGAAGTTTCTAAGAGAACATCAAAACAAACTGTAGAAAAAGCAAAATTTCTACGAGATAAAATGATGGAGTATAAAAATGGTGAAATATCTCCCTTTCAGTATACTCAGGTAGTTTAAAAAAAAAAAAATGTTACCCACATGGATGTTTATCTTTTTATAGAGACGCAACTCGATCACCAGCCTTAATGACCTGACGCACGCCGACCACCGTCTTTAACGACTGGGACGCAATTCGACCATTGCAGTCATTAGCGTTACCTTACAGGACGCAACTCGACTCCAGACATAGAGATCACTTATCTTAGTAGTAAAAAAATTTCTTTTTACTTTATATTGAAAATTATTTGCAATTTCTATCAGAAGTATTGCCTTTAATCTTAGGATCTTCATCACTTGGTTTACACCACTTTGGATAAGATTACTTATTGACATTTTTTGAGTTGATTACAAATTTTTTGTCGCTTTTTGTCACGTGGTAATTGTCACGCTTGTGTGAAAACTACCTGCTTCAAGGACTTGATACATGTAATAATCTACTTTCCGTACAAGATTTTTAAGTAATTGAAAATATTGAGGTAATATTATAGATACATTTTTAAACTAAATAAAGTAGTTTGTCATTACTGTTACTTACCCTAGTAAGCACGCAAATTTACTAAAATTTCCCCACAAAAAAGTCGCAATCATGTAGAGGTACGCAAAACCAGTGAACAGATCCGCAATGGTGAGATTCAGTATCAATTGATTGTAAACGCCATCAAATAGTCTACGGTTTAGACTTTGGACAATAATAGTCATGCCGTTGCTGATTATTATTATCACAGCCAATACTGTTTCCAATAGAAAAAATGTTTGGTGGATACTGTTTGACAAAAATATTCGTAAGTAATTACTAGATTGTTTTAGAAGTACGTGTTGTATACATGATCAAGTTGACCTAACAAGATATGCAAATACTTATGGATATAAATGTACGTGTTGTATACATGATCAAGTTGACCTAACAAGATATGCAAATACTTATGGATATAAATGTAGTTAGTTTTTATGGTCAAAATTGTTTATAAAAAACTATTCAAGAAAGTTATTTAAAAAAAAAGGTTGTTGTTTCGGCTAAGCACCTAATAGAATGATGAGGTGGACAAACATGATAAAAGGTAATGCACTATATTCATATTAATTTTGTACAATACAACAATATTACTTTACACACAAAAAAAACAAACATGTTATTTTTAATAATAGTGATTAGCCAACAAAGTTTATAATTATTTTGATACTGACTAACACAAGTAGTATGTTGCCTTTTAATTTTCAGATTCATCGAAACTAATATTAGACAAACGATGAGAAGCCCATGAGGTGCAACTATTTTAGAAGAATGTGATGTGTGTTTTATTTATTTTTGCATATTCTGGACTTTTTTTTTAAAATGTATCTCTTATAGCAAAATGTGTTTGCAATAAAGATTTAATTAGTTTTCTACTGTAGCATGAATCGGCATTCAGACTAAATCTTAATAAACTATCGCTTGATAAAAGTTGTACATAAACATCGCATGGGAGTAACAAATAAATTAATAGTATGCAATAAGTGTTAAAATATTTTTCTTTTTAGTCCAAACTGATACCTTTTATCACACTCGACCGAATTGGCACCTTCGTTCTTTCAAGTGAAAAGTATTCGATACTAGTTAGTATGTATATAAACACCGTGTCGTCGGTTTTTAATTATTTTTTTTATCCATTGCAGACTGTTATTAATGACATGGCATTGAAGAACTGTCATTTTCCATGTAAAAAAGTATGGACTTGATAGTTATTAGATTTTTAGCTAATTTAAAGCCATTAAACCTTTTCTTTGCTTTTTTTAAATTAAAATCTGACAGATGCATCAAATATTTATTAATCATCGGTTAATTTTATTAAAATTCACTCGCTACGCGAGTCTTGGGTACTTACGCGTTGCTGGACATGACTGCCATGTGTTATACTTGTTGGCCTTGCGCAAGTGCCGCTACAAAGAGTTGTTCACACATGCGTTAGTACATAGACAAAAGTGGAATAAATTGCGACAATATCGAATCAAGGTACGTTTCGAGTCTAACGCTTTGAACTTTCTAGTCTTCTTGTATGTATAAGGATAGTCAACTGCTGTAATGACTAATCGGGAGAAATTCATAAAAGTAAAGAGGGGATATGTTTTATCGAGAGTACCAGCAAAAAACCTTCAACAACGTAGGAGGGCTAGAAGCTAGTAACGCGTGAATTTTTCGGGGAGTGTAAGAATTTTTGTTGGGCTACGTGAAAAATTGACTTTTTAAAATTTTTGATTTCACGCAAAATTTATTATGTTACAGCTATTATGTTACTCTAGTAAGTTGCAACCATTGTTTTGTGTAAGTTGTACCATATTAAAATCTACATAAACTATAAATAATACTGTAGTAAAATTAGTAGCTCGTATTAATTTTTTTCACCATCTTGAGCAGAGTAAATTTGAAATCAAACTCTTATTTCAAATCAATATCACGTGATTATAACATCAGGTCTTCTGAATTTTATGAAGTTTATTACCTTACAGTTGCGAGACGTAAAATTTTAAGGTAAGACGTCATTTAATGTATTTGAATTTTTTAATACGATTTTCTCGTAACCCAGAGTAGATGATAATGACAGTTCTGATGTTTGCACACCTGTATGTACCGAATATACCACGGAAAATAAAAAAGTTCTGACTATCATACACTGAGAGATATTTTTAATAAATTTTATCGTAAATGCCCATAAAAATTACCGTGCAGAACGGTAAACGTGGGACTAGGTCGTCACTCCGGACTTTTTTACCTAACCTTAACAATTTTTACCGTTACGCCCAGTTAAAAATCATCGGGCGCCCAACAAAAATTCCCCTCACGACTCACGAGCCAAAGTTCACTGTAGGTAAGTAAAACAGAGACCATAGTTAACGTATTTGTCATCAGCACAAGATGCGTCAAAAAAATTTTTTTTTTAACAACTTGATTGTCGTGCGTTATCACTGTTGTCTTTTTTTTTAATTTTTTTTTTTTTTTTTTTTTTTTTTTTTTTTTTTATTAATGTAACCGGTTAGACATTGTACCATTTTAAATAAATATTTCTTTACAATAATTGAAATGTATCAATTAAATTTATTTAAAGATTTTTAAGCTAAACTAATAAAGAATGTATAATACTATAATAATTTTATTGCTTTAAATACAATTCAATTCAACTACGGTCTCTGTTTTACCTACAGTGAACATTCACTCGTGAGTCGTGAGGGGAATTTTTGTTGGGCGCCCGATGATTTTTACTGGGCGTACCGGTAAAAATTGTTAAGGTTAGGTAAAAAGTCCGGAGTGGCGACCTAGTCCCACGTTTACCGTTCTGCACGGTAATTTTTATGGGCATTTACGATAAAATTTATAAAAAATTTCTCTGAGTGTACCAGGTGATTTTGGTTGAAATATGATTTGAAATTTCAATCAATTATCATAATTTTATCATACAGTATAAAAAAACAGCCTAATAAGCGTTTGCAGTGCATATTTCACTATCGAAAAAAAAAAAAAAAAAAATAGATAAGAAACCACATAAATTTTCAAGTCTGTGAAAATCACTATTCGCTTCGAGAATAACTGCAGCTCTCTCTGCCACTCGTGACCAAAACTAAAATTCTGAAGGTACGCAACTGTAGCTTTTTACATGGTAGCAAACGAAAATTTAGATTTGATGAGAAAGTAATGGACTGTTTATAAAAATATTTTAACAACAATAAAGTTTAGTAATGCTTAATTTTATTTTACTGTATCAAACATGCATGTATGCGTTAAATAAAGTATAGAACCTTACTAGTAGTTTTCAAGTCATTAGTCCAAACAGAAATATTACAGAACTCCGATGGACCCTACATTATTTTAAAATACTTGACCAATTATAATTGTATTAAAAATTTTTCTCTTAAAAATATTTTGATTTCGTACATTTCATTTCAAGTAAAGTATTTGAATTTAAAATTTTTGTTCTGTATATTTAAAATATTTAAATGAAAATAGTAACACATGGTTGTTGAAATAATTCCAAATACTTATAATCATGATTTTATGTAAACTTTATTTTATTTATAATATACCACTTATAACAAAATACAATTATATACTTAATAAATAGAATAATTTTTTTTTTTTACATTTGTATCCTAATTTTTTAAATAATACGACTTTGTCCAGGTCTGCGCATAATAAGTACATGTACAGTTCAGGTTACTTGGCAAGGATCTAGATATTGCAAGTAAAAAAAATTTATACGCATTAAGTTGGTTGGTTTGTTTTACTGATTGTCATTATTGAGAACAGCAGTACAGTCAGTCTTAAGGTAGATCTATCCCACTCGAAGTGGATCGCATGTTTTACCCATAGGCAACATCAGCCTGTGCCTAGTTCTCCACACGTGATATTCGTTCTCGTCGTTACCTTGTTTGTCGTATCCTTTTTTTCCAATTCATTATTCTGACTTGGAGCTTTGGGCCAAAAAAAACGTTCATAGGCTTCGCGATAAGCTGGGGTCTTCCAAGAATAGATCAGCGGGTTGATAATACTGTTGGACATGGCCATGAATGTCTCCGTATGGTGTAAGGCCACCAAGGCGGTTGAACGATTGTAAACCCCAAATACTATCAACAGTGTATCGACTACTTTTGGCAGCCAGCAGATCGAAAAACACCCCAAGAATAAAAATACCTTCAAAAATAAAACAATGTTTGCTTAGGCTTGATAGTATCGTGACGTACAGTCATCGAGTCGATAAAAATATTTCGTGAGCAGGAAAAAAAAATTCGGAATTCCAATTTATTAGATAATGATGAACACCACAATACGTACCAAGATGCAGTTACTGTCGCTCATGTGATTATTCTGCGCAATTCCTCTCGACCTCGCCTTCGACCTTTCCATATATGCCCTTGTCGCTTTCCAGATTCCCAAGTAAAGTATAATAATACTTAACCAAATGACCATGAAATGCGATGCCCAAATCACTTCTTTGAATAGTCTAAGAAGACAACGTGTTTTGAGTATTTTCCACCAGAAGAAGCAAAAGTTTTTCTCACATTTTCAATACTCGATTACTTACTTGGAGATGATATTTTTGCAATTGCCCTTTTCGGGGTCGAAATTGTTCCAGTACAAAGGTACCGAGGATATGAGCACAGCTGCGCACCAACTGACTACTATCATTGCGTTAACCATCCGCCTGGCCACGTATTTGGTATACTTGAGTGGATAAACGATGGCTACGTAACGATTGATTGCTATCGCTAATGTGGCGTAAAAACTTGCAGCTATGGCACAATAGTAGGATGACATACTGTTAAAATAAATAAAACATTGAATTTCAAGAATCGAATTTACTAGAAAATTCTTAAAAATATGTATTTTTGCCCAACATATATACATACATAGAAGATCTACTTATATATTATTATTAGCTATCACTTTTCGTGACTTGCGAACAATGAGTCGCAATAACAAGCCCAGTATTTTTAGATCGTTTTTACCGTTTTTATCTAAAAATACTGAGCTTGTTATTGCGACTCATTGTTCACAAGTCACGAAAAGTGATAGCTAAAAATAATATATTAGTAGAACTTCTCGCAACATTAAAGTATAAAGTATGCAGGTGTGCAATTTAATGTATGAAATGACATGTTTTTTTCCACACACCTTTTTGATACATTTTAAAATACTTAAAAGTCTTGTGATACATGTTTTTGAAAAACATAAATAATTTGTATCATCACTCACCGAAGCAAGCACGCATACTTGTTCATAGGATTATTCGCCAGGACCGTGAAATTTGTGAGCGACACGTAGAGGTACGCAAAACCAGTGCACAGATCCGCAATGGAAAGGTTGAGTACCAAGTGGTTGGAATATCCACGCGATAGTCTACGGCTTAGACTCAAGACAATAATAGTCATGCCATTTGCGATTATTATTATCACGGCCAATACTGCTTCGATCAACCAAAATAATACGAGATTTCTGTTTGACAATTATAAACAAAACAACTTAGTGAAGATATTTTGGTTATACCTGTGGTCTTCTTCATTAAAAAAAAAAATCATCTATGTCTGTGAAATGACGTGGTAAGGGTATACTTACCAATACTTATGGGTATTATATTTTTTTTTATAAGAGAAATTGTTTGCAAAAACTGTTCAAGTAAACATTTTTTATTCACATTAAAAAATGTAAAAAAGGTGTAACTATTGATGAATCATGAATAAAAGTATTATAATTCGCTTGGTACAAAGTATCATGTGTGAGTCTTTATACTTACGTGTGATCGGCCATGACTGTAAGATTTGAATGCCGGATATCGTACGGGTAAGTATAAGACTACTTGTACGGATACGTGTTAATTAGGTGAAGTGACAACAACGTTTTGTTAAGGTATACTGATAACTGTGAGTTATCAGAGACTTTGGGCGTTCAGGGCTATCTTTCGCTGACGTATTTGGTGATTAGTGCAGTAAACTGATAAAAATGTATTATTATGGGAGAGTAGTCATAAGTGTAGAGACTACATAAACTGCTATGGACTGGAAGTACTTATAAGTTGTATTGTTTCCAAGTTTTATGTTCCACTCATAGCAGTATAAAACTAGTGACTTGACAGGTACACAAGTTGAATTAACTTTGAATTTGTAGGTGACCAACGGTGACTGGACCATTTAATGGTTGTTAAGATTAAATTTTCGAAAACAAAAATGTACTACCTGATGGCACGTTGGCTTACAAATAATTCGTAAGAGATAATTTTAATAATGACGGTAAAAGTGACAGCTCATGCATGTTGCAAGAATACGAGTTTAAAACTACCAATTTCGAATCGTAACGTGAACTTTGTCTTTTCAGTACTCAAGTGCATTTGTTGGAGGATTGAGTTTTTCGATTTTTAAGGTACAGTTTTTGTTGAATAATAAATATTTGAGAATGACAAAATAGTGACCAATACTGTATTTCTCAGAAGTACTTGATAAAATATTGAAAATTCGACAAACTTTTTTTTCGACTACTACTTCTAAAAAATAGTTGAGAATTGCAATAAATTTATTTGTAAAAAAAAAAAAGATGTAATCTCTCCAGTGATTTTAGTGTTTTCTATAAAAATAACACCTTTTTACTAAAACTAGTAGTTTTCAATTTTTTTTAAGCTACTGAGTAAATTTGGGTAATGCGAAAAAATCTGTTCTTCTTTTATGATTCTCCACCAAAAATATCTGGATGCCAATGAAACTTCTTAGATGCTAAGATAAGTATCTGGAATATAATAAGTTTGTATAGTAGAAAAGCTTTGGTCTAGGCCCTTAGTGTCTCTGTAGGTCAAAGTCTGCCTACCATACTACTTCATATCCCAATTATGAAGTCGTGATAACGGAGAAACGTCATTAAGATAAATGTTTTGAATCATCGATGAATTTTTAATTTTTGAATAACTAGAAACTCTATTACGTGAAATGTAACGAGTGCGAAGCCAATTAATGAAAAGCAATATGTTCCAGTAAAAATAAATAATTTTTTGCCATGAACGAAAATAATGACAGCATATCAAATTTTATACGCACCCACATTCTGCTATGGGTAATAATGTAACATTTGTTCCAGCTATGAGGGATTAAATTTTTAATTAATATATGTTGACAACAGGTAGACGGAAATTTCGATCATCAAATTACGATTACACACCGGATCGATAGACGTGTAGACAAATTTGTAGATGTACTAGCGGTGAGAGAGCGAGGCAAAGGGGGAGCTTACATGTACACAATCAAGCGCATGACATGTAAGTATACATTCACTGGTCTGCTGATGAGCCCATCTGAATTCATGTCAATGTTAATATTCGTATATCATGAGTAACATTAATAGCTGTGTACATAGACTTTTTACAAAAGTAAGTTGGTTTCTGTATTAAAAGTGATTAAATTAAAATGTTTTATCATATTAAACATATTGTTGTATCATAAAAAACAATAAAATAATAAACGTATCATAATTCAATAAAAGCATACAAACCATTGATCTTGCTTGCTTGAGATAATTTTTGTACTTAATAAATAACTAAACAATAATCACGGTTTGAAAAGAAGTGCTGCCAACAAAATTTATCAAAAAAAAAGATTAGGTTAAAAGTGATTATTATTCCTTTTTTTCTGAGTTACGAGAAAAGATTAAAAAAAAAAAAATGAATTACAAGGTAACAAAATATCAAGTGTCAAAACGAAATCTTTCATGTAATNTTTTAATTTTTCTAAAATTATCCTACCTTCTTGGTTATTTCTGCTGAGTAGTTTTTTCGTATTCGGCTCTTGAGGATTTTCGTACAAACAATAAGCATGTTCTTCTCTTGAATCCACCGAGGCTTTGAGTCCCGAGTCCTCGAAATATAATTGATCCAGCGACTCCCCGTGTAATAGTGGATCCATTGTTGGATAGTCAAATGATGTTGTATATTCTGGTAAATTCAAAAATTCAAACTTCGGTGACTCATCTAGGAAATAAGAAAAGATACAGCTTGTTACAGTTTTTAAACACTATTCTTTGAAAGGAAACCTTTGATACGTTAGGCCAAGTTTTAAAACAGGTATTATTTTATTTTAAATTGTCATTTTTTTAATTCTTACTCCATATAAACTTATAGAAACATTTGCGAAGTAAAATTATGTATTAAAGCAATGGTTTTTTTATCATTATATACTGATGTAACAGAAAAAATAAAAAACTGTTCATGCATATGTACTTGTGTTGGGTATAAGATAATTTTTTACTTTTTGATACCCTTTGAAGTACGAAAAAAAATTACAATTATAAAATTTCATCAGCACATGGAAGAAAATTATCAAAATTCGTCAAATGATACTTTTTTAATGTCATAGTGAGACTTTCACTCTATCTTAAGATTGTAATACTTTAGACTTAGTTCTTTGATAAATTATTATGGAAATCATAGTTAAAAATAAATATTTAAGAAGTATTAATATAATATGAATAAACTTCATAAAAAAATTTTTTTTTCAACTGTGAAATATTTTCTACTTTAAATCTATTTTAGTATGTACTACAAAAAGAGTTAGTAGCGATAAACAGAAGTATTAAAAACTTTAAAAAAATTTATTATTACATTTTTTGTGTATCCTCCGCACGTGATTATGCATTGCCCATTTCTGTTTACTTCTGTACAGGCAAAAAGGACAACTAAATCTGGGTGGGACATTACTATAAATACATTCGTATTTCGTATGCCTGTCTAGATTTCCTTTGTTTGCGTACTTCTTTCCGCAACGATCACATTCATTATCCATGATCAGATTTAATGCTAAATTCATTAAATACAAATGATTATTATTCCTTTTTTTCTGAGTTACGAGAAAAGATTAAAAAAAAAAAAATGAATTACAAGGTAACAAAATATCAAGTGTCAAAACGAAATCTTTCATGTAATGAAGTTATCTAAATCAATAGGTTTTTGGTCTACCAACTGGTATTTATCAAAGTCCAATTCAGTTTTTTTTATCAGCCGAAGTGGGACCAATATTAATATTCCAGCAAAAGTAAAGAAACGTAGGTTAACACTTGGATGAAGAATTTAACAAAACAATTTTGAACTGAATTTTCTTTTATTACAGAGCGTTCTTTAAGTACAAATATGCTTATAACTTAAACTGCCAACACTGTAACTTTATTTTCTGTAGCGTATCACCAATAAAAATTATTATTTATTTTCATGCGCGTCAAACCCACATGTCTGTAGTACTTCCAATTAAAAAAATTCTTGCTATCGAATACTACTCAATGCTTATAATACACATGCAAAATTTACTGCATGGTTTGTATAAAATATGCACATAGAAAAATTGAGTCTATTTGTATTTGTATGATAAAATATTTATAAACCGTATTTAAAAATTGAAAATTATATCCTTAAAATACACGATAGCTTATTTTCAAACACAAAAACTTTATCTGTAAAACTTTACTAACATTATAATTACATTTTATTAGAATTTTGCCACATCTAGCATAAAAAATTAAAAAATATCAGTTGGTACTTTAAACATGCCTTGGAAGTCAATTCATTGCACTTTAAATATTCATACATTTACTACTAGCTAACAAATATTTACCCCAAGAAACTTCACATACAATTATGCTTTTAGTAACAGTTAAAAACAGACCACATTTTTTTTTCTATTAATGTGTGTGACAAAGTAATCATCCATAAAATGTACGTCACTATTAAACGTACGACATTACATGCAGCGTATTTGTACCAAAAACTTAGTTTTACTTTATTTATCTAAACTTAACTTTTGCGTAATCTTATTTAAAAACTTTCCATCATTAATTTTTTAAAAATAATACGACAAAAATCATACGGGTAAGTATAAGACTACTTGTACGGATACGTGTTAATTAGGTGAAGTGACAACAACGTTTTGTTAAGGTATACTGATAACTGTGAGTTATCAGAGACTTTGGGCGTTCAGGGCTATCTTTCGCTGACGTATTTGGTGATTAGTGCAGTAAACTGATAAAAATGTATTATTATGGGAGAGTAGTCATAAGTGTAGAGACTACATAAACTGCTATGGACTGGAAGTACTTATAAGTTGTATTGTTTCCAAGTTTTATGTTCCACTCATAGCAGTATAAAACTAGTGACTTGACAGGTACACAAGTTGAATTAACTTTGAATTTGTAGGTGACCAACGGTGACTGGACCATTTAATGGTTGTTAAGATTAAATTTTCGAAAACAAAAATGTACTACCTGATGGCACGTTGGCTTACAAATAATTCGTAAGAGATAATTTTAATAATGACGGTAAAAGTGACAGCTCATGCATGTTGCAAGAATACGAGTTTAAAACTACCAATTTCGAATCGTAACGTGAACTTTGTCTTTTCAGTACTCAAGTGCATTTGTTGGAGGATTGAGTTTTTCGATTTTTAAGGTACAGTTTTTGTTGAATAATAAATATTTGAGAATGACAAAATAGTGACCAATACTGTATTTCTCAGAAGTACTTGATAAAATATTGAAAATTCGACAAACTTTTTTTTCGACTACTACTTCTAAAAAATAGTTGAGAATTGCAATAAATTTATTTGTAAAAAAAAAAAAGATGTAATCTCTCCAGTGATTTTAGTGTTTTCTATAAAAATAACACCTTTTTACTAAAACTAGTAGTTTTCAATTTTTTTTAAGCTACTGAGTAAATTTGGGTAATGCGAAAAAATCTGTTCTTCTTTTATGATTCTCCACCAAAAATATCTGGATGCCAATGAAAC